CGATCAGCCGAGGCCAGTGGGCTCTTCTTCCTTCCAACGAGGGCCTGCTAACCGCCTGGGGGAAACCCTCGAGCAGGAGGAGGTGAGGGCAATAAAATACCCAACCTCTGTGCCGCCACAGGTCTCCTTGAAGCGGATAAACAGGGACCCTCGGGCTCTGATACTGGCATGTCGCTTTCTGGCCTAGCGGCCACTGCCAGATAATAATTGCATGGCATCAAGTCAGTTCTGACTTATGACAACTCTTTTCAGTGTTTTCTAGGCAGAGAATACACACACACACACAAGTAGTTTCCCAATCCCTTCTTAGGGTGGCCTGGACTGTTCAGCTTGCCCAAGGCCACACAGGCTGCCTCTACTCCAGGGTGGCACAGTGGGGGAATCAGTAGCCATAACTTCTGTCTCCTCAGCCAGATACCCAAACCACTGAATTATCTAACCAGTGTATTGATAGCTCTAATCCCCATTAATTTACCTATTTATTAAAGTTATGAAAATTGGCACCTGTAACACCGAATCTCAGTATACCTATGAGTTGTGTGAAGAAGTGCTTCCTTTTATCTTGACTGAATCGCCCTTAACAGTTTGGGCCTCTGGTATTTGTCGGAGCCTCTCTCCCTCAGGAATTCTTTACAGGCCTTGCTTCTCCAGGTTGCCATGCCGAGAGAGGCAAAGATGGGGATTATCATGTTTTCTCAGAAATGGCCACTGCCTTATGGAATGGGCTCCAGGTAGAAATCCACCAGGTCTCCTCCCTCTCATCCAAAAGGATGCTAAATATACAACTGTTTCTAGAAGCATTTTAGGGCATCCTCATTTAAGTTGTGCCTATTGGTTTTCCCAGAGTCCATCATCATTTTGGTGGTTGTGTATTTAGTGTATGTGTTCACTTGGGAGTGTCTTCTGTTGGGTTTTTTAGGTGATTGGGGTTATTGTTTTATTGTGTTGTTGTAAACCACTTAGAGTTGGTATACAAATGCACAAAATTACTCAATTTCAGTGAACAGCCCTCAGTTCTTGTATTATGAGAAAGGGAGAAGAGCTCTGTATTCAATACATTTATTTATTCACTTTATTTATTCACTTTTATTATGTGTCCCTTTATTCTTGTTACTGTTAATAGTTGCACTAGTGCAGGAAACATTTTAGTTCATACTAATAGAAGTAATCTGACTTGATTCGATTTTCATTTAGGGACCAACACTGATCCTTTTTTGTTTTGTTATTTTAATTTGCTTTTGAAAGTGTTGATGGAGAGACAGGAATCAAGCATAGAATGCAAACAAATAAATTTACAATGTACCATTTTTAACTCCACATGGCTCCTAGATGCCCAAGTTGCTTCTTAGAACTTACTGTATTTTCCCATGTATAAAACAACACTTTTCCCTAAAATAATTAGAGGAAAAATTGAGGTTCGTTTTATACACCTCTCGCTGTTGCCCACTGACTGCCGCCCAATCACAAGGAGACGATTGCTGGAGGGAGTGATCCGGCGCCAGTAGTCAGTGGGCAGCAGCGAGAGGCAACCAAGCCCGGCTGCTTCTTTGCCTCAGTCTCTACCTCCTGCTGCTGTTCCCTCCGCCGCTGGTTGTGGGCTCAGTGAATGTGCATCCCTTTGACCTTCCTTTTGCTAAGCCCGGTGGCTTAGCAAAAGGAAGGGAAAAGCAGCGGTCAAAGGGAGCTTAGCAAAGGAAGGGAAAAGCAGTGGTCAAAAGGAGCCTTTTGATTCTTGCTTTTCCCTTTTGCTAAGCCCTGGGTTTAGGAAATTTTCTAATTTGGGGTCAGAAAAGGGGGTGGGTCATTTTATACATTGCCTTATAAATGGAAAAATATGGTATGTTTGTCCTGTATTTGTATCTGTTATGTTGTCAAGTCTCATCTAATTTACAGCGCCCTTAATTTAAATCAAATTCTCCTCAGCCCTAAATAATCCCTCTATCCACAACACCACCACACTGGCTCTTATATGTGTCTTTGTGTAACTCAAAACAGTGAATTTATTTTATGAAATAGACTGTGAGTCTGGAAAAGCTTTTGCCAAAATGAATATTTTAGTCTTTCAAATGCAACTTCATTGCTCTTAATCTAGAAATTCATTATTCCGGGGTTTCTTTAATTAGAAGAAACCAAAAATGCACCAGTAATTTGTATTTTTCTGTGTTATCCTGTTTTTGAGAGTTTGATTGCCTTTTGCAGGAGATCAGGAAAGTTGTTCAAACTCTAGAGCAAACAGCTCGGGAAATCCTAACAGTACTACAAGGAGTCCACCAAGGTTCGGGATTTCAGGACAGTAAGTCAAGGTTACTCTGGTCATTGTCTTTAGCAAGATGTTCTGGATGCAGGGGCGAAGTCATGCAAGAGAGAAGCAGAGCCCCAACCAGGGGGGCTGAAAATTAGAGGATACATTGAATGGACTATATCCAAATTAATAACGACTATCCTGTGCCATTCATTTTAATGAAACTAAAGCGTAACCTAGGTATAACCCACCCCATCAGATTTGTTTCTTTAGTTGTTTCTTGGGTTTTTCTTCCTGTTTCTGTGAATTATCTTTTTTAAAAAAAGAAACACTGAACTTTTTTCCCCTTTTAGTTCAGTGTATCATCTGGTTGCTTTTTATTTCAGTTCCAAAGAAATGTCAGAAGGCTCGAGAACACTTTGGTACAGTTAAAACACAGTTGGCATCTCTGAAAAACAAGTTTCCTGCAGATCAATACTACAGGTTAGTCAATGTATACCTGCCCTGCCCCTTGCAATTTTGTTAGTGTAGCAGAGCTCCATTGAATCCCATCCATTCTACAATTTTAGACCGTGGTTGAAAATAGTGTCTGCTGAAAGGAAGAATAACTTATTTGAGCAAGTGCTAAAGCCCGCATAATTGTTGGTATATTAAATCTTCACATATGTATAGTATGCTAGCTCAGGTCCTCTTTGTAGATGAACAGATAGATTTTTGTTTTGTTTTGTTTTAGGCTAGACAGACGGTGCAGGATTTGGACTAAGAAAACCTGAGTTCAAATCTCTGCTTGGCCATAAACCTAACAGGGCTGATAATCTTGGGATAATTGTTGCCATTCTGTCCCACTTCCCTTACACAGGGACTGGCTCTTTGGATTACAAGACAGCAGACAGATATATATGATTAGTATGCTTAATTGTTAGGTTAGAATCATTCAAACATTGTTTTTTAAGAAAATAAAAACATTGTGGCAACTTAAAGACTTACTGCTATATTTTAATATGAGTTTCCCTGGAGAAAACCACTTTGTCAGATGTTGTCTGATGTTTGAGGAACTGGACTTGCTCACAAAAGCTTGCATTAAATTATAGGAGTTAGTCTTTAAAGTGCCACCATATTTTTTTGTTGTATTTTTAAAAAAAATGCTTTAGACTGATATGCTAGCATAGAATAATGCAGCTACCTCATCTAAAACTTCAACTACGGAAGATGTGTTTTTTGTAAGCTCAGTCTCTTCATCTTGATATCTAAATGCCAACATTTTAAAAGGTCTGCTAAGAGCCATGTGCTTCACTGTTGTTTTTTCCATCTAGATTCCATGAACACTGGAGGTTTGTGCTACAGCGTTTGGTCTTCTTAGCTGCATTTGTTGTCTACTTGGAAACAGAAACCTTAGTCACTCGGGAAGCTGTTACAGAAATACTTGGAAGTAAGTTATTGTTTTTCCAGTTTCATTGCAATTAATTTTGGTTTTAATGGGGTAGCAAAGTTCTGTATTTCAGGAGTTCCTTAAAAGTTTATACACATTGGAGCACCAAAAGGTGCCGGTGTATCAGTTGATTTCCAAAAAGGTTTGACGTTTCTGGAAACTTCAGTAAAAGCTGGACTTCTGCGTAACCTTGGATGCAGTTTCTTTATGTCTTAAAAAGAGTATGGATTAGTCAATAAGGAGTCTGCAAACCAACTTTTTGGGGGATTTAAATGGGCAAGATTCAGTGTAACTTGCCAAACTAAACATATGACACTTCCAATGTCAATGACTCAAACCTTTGATTCATTGACATTGCGGTGCTTCACAGGTTTAGAGAAGATGTCACACTGTATTTCCGGAGACTCAGCTTCCTAGTCTGTTTAGGATTCCACCCTTTCTCCAGTACCGTCTGCTGTAAATTGTGGCAGCTTTCCAAGGTTTTAGGGAAAGGATTCCCCCCCCCTCAATCCTGCTATCTGAAATCCTTTAAATTAGATTAGGGGTGAGGAGTGGTACTTAGGATCTTCTGCATGCACAGAATATGATCTTTGTTGACCCTTTGGTATTCAGCTGTGGAATTGACTTGCCTAAAGTCTATTAGACCTTCAGAATATAGTTAAATGAGTGAGGAAAGAATGTGCTAATCTTGGCCTCTTGTGTTGTTTCTATCCCCACGCAAAAAGCAACAAGTGTAACTACCTCTAGATGTGGAGGCTCTCTATATGAGCTGGGACCCTTAAAAAAATCCAAAGCATTCCAGATTGTGTGGAGTCTGCACATTGAAGAGGCCCTTGCCTTCAGACCACTGTTGTCCACCTGGGGATAACAATAAAAGAGGCAGAGCTAACACAGATTCTTCCTCTTTACTTTAACAAAATCTGAACACCTGACTAGGGCATAAAATGAAGACTTGACCTGCATTGGCATAGGAGTCCCATTCTTTTTCAAATTTATTTGAGGTGAGTTTGGTTTATTACTTTCCATTTGCAGTTGAAGCTGACAGAGAGAGGGGCTTTCATCTGGACATCGAGGATTACCTCTCTGGAGTGCTGACTCTTGCTAGTGAGCTGGTAAGTTAATGTTTTACAATGTTACTAAAGTGTTGATGACCTTACTACAAATGCTAGAATTACGAGGGGGTGCTGGTAAGTATTGAGCCTTTCCCAGAAAAATGACTGTTACCCATAGTTTGTGACATTTCATCATGGATCGGCTTTGCACCTTTCCCTTGGAGAAACAGGAACTTGATTATGGTCCTATGCTCTTCCACACTGAACTTTTCTGGAGGTGCCACCATGTTCACTTTGGACCGGAAAATGAAAGTTAAGTTAAAATCATAGGTAGTTGATTTTTGCACTGTTGAATGTAGACAAATTGGCCAATACACCCTGCAATTTATAGCTTCTTAGCTCAATTTTTTCTGGGTAAGGCTCAATACTTATCAGCACCCCTCGTACCAACCTTGATTCTCTCTTTTTAAAAATTGTATCTGATGTTTTCTTCTTTTTGAAAGGCTGCCCTTTTTTTGTTAATGGCATATTACCATATTAAAAATAACACCTTTCGGGATTTGAGCGTTATCAGAGATCCACTTAAAGAAGGGCATGTATCTGTCCAGATCTGGATGAACAGCTATCAACCCTAGCCAGTGTAGGTGATGGTGTGGGATTATAGGAGCTGGAAGCCACCAACAAGTGGTCCAGACTTTTGCCATCCCCGTCTTAAAGGTTACAAAGAAGGCAATACCTTCATTAGGTCTGGAACTGTAAGGAGGCCTACCAGGTTTGGCCCAACCATTACATTTATTCCTCAGCTCATACATGTTTCTGTTGTCCAATAGTCTAGGCTAGCAGTCAACAGTGTCACTGCTGGGGACTACTCTCGCCCACTCCGCATCTCTGCTTTCATCAATGAGTTGGATTCTGGATTCCGCCTTCTGAATTTGAAAAACGACTCCCTGAGGAAACGTTATGACGGCCTCAAGTATGATGTCAAGAAGATTGAGGAGGTCGTTTATGACTTGTCCATCAGAGGGCTCAACAAGGAGGCAACTGGTGGGGAAAAGTAAAAAAAAAAAGTGATTGTGGGACTGCATTCATGATTACCTCAGATTTTCTGCCAATGAAGGAGAAGTTTTATGTGAACTCTCCAGCAGTAGCTTAGAGGAACCACATGCTGCAAACCACTGTTGTTTTTCCCAAGTGAATGTTTAGTGTTTCTGACCGAAAGCACTCAAAACTGTTGAATGCCCATCATCTAGTGGACTCTTGTTTGCAGTAAAAATCACCATGTCTAAACAAACTGTAACCTGTGAATTACAGCCATGGCTGCCCAGCTGCCCTACAAGTACCAAACATGGAAGTTTTGTTATCCCCACGTGATAGGTTTGTTTTCAAGCCACACTGAGCTTAATCTTTTTTTTTGGGGGGGGGGGAATTCCATGTTATTGCCACTGATTAAACTTCATGAAAATCAAAATGGGGAGCTTGGCTATAGGAAGTACGTTAATGCCTTTATCATTAGAACATGATCAGAATATGTCATTTTCTGCTTTTGCTGGTAAATCATAATGGTTCCTCTATTGAAATTAAGGTTTAGAATTATCAGTTCAGTAGATATATATTGTTGGAATGTATGTTTTTCAAATAGTCATTGTATGGGACATGGTTATCTTTGTGTTCTTAAGCAAGCTGTTTATTAGACACGGGAAGGGAAGTGATTTATACCTTAAAACTTGAGTAGTTAATTGCGGGCATTTTCCAAGTAGATATCCAGTTTTGAAAAAGAAATGTTAGAAAATGTGTCAGTGATTTTACTGGGGGCAAGTAAGAGCAGAATGCAAGGAGACCAATAGCTGTATAAGATGAGAGAATTTATGATCCTTTGGACTTTTAAGTAATCTGTTGCATGTTTCCTTCATATTTGTATTTCATCTCTTTTTTTAAAGATCCTACGTAGATTGCACAGCAGAGAAAACAGTTTATCTTAACAAAAGGGGGGGCATTATTCTTACTTTAATCCAAAAAAATACCTGGAGGCAAGTTGTTTTTCCTCAACTTATTTTAACTTTAGAAAGTGTCTAAAGGATCATGGTCTTTGTAGTACAGTATATAAAGCACCAGTGCAAAGCAAGCTGGGCTTTTCCTGCTATGCATGTGCTACATCCACCATGCCTTTTGCACTTCATTTGTTTCAAGTTTCCTTAATACACCATGTTGTTTTCCCTAAGTATTTTTTTTTTTTGCATCATGTACGTTTATCAGACTGGTTTCTCCCATGGTCCTAATGTTTTCTGATGATAAAGGTTACCCCTGCCCCCAAAATATCAAGAGAATCTTCATACTTTATGATACTAGTGGTTGTAAATATATCCATTTGTAAAGCTTTGCCTTGTTCCGTTACATTTTCTAAAAATGTTCACAGAGAAGCATATACTTCCCTTGTTAATGTGGGTGAATAAAATAAAAAACATTGTTCTTTAAGAATTTCATATCAACTGCATCACTGTGATTTGTATTTTTTTCCAAGATAACATTGAACAAATTGTTTACAATTTTAGTGAACTAGAATGGAATTAGGCTGTTTTCAGAAATCCTAAAATTCCAGGTTTTCCCAGAAGAGCAAAATGCAATCTTCATTTAACTTAGCTGTAATGTGTCTAATTATTTGAATTATATAGGATATGTGCAGATGGAACAGCATAATGCAATACTGTTTAATGTGTAGTTTGACGCAGATAATTAAGAATTGCATGTGGCTGCATAGTATTATTTAATTTGACTTTGTAAACCTTTTATTTCCTTCCTGCTCATCAGTAGGCACAGAAACACTATATGGTGTCTACTACTTAAGTTTTTTTTTCTGTCCTCATGGCTCTTGGGAAGAAAAAAGGCAAATGAGGGGAGGCTAGAGATACCCTTGTATGTTAAGTAGTAGAGCAGAGAAAACAATAGATGCTTTTTCTCCCCAGAGCCATCCACTGAAGCTGAATACTAGGAGATTAATGACAGATGATTAGATTATCACACCCCAGTTCTTCAAACAGTTCTTTTTCGTTTGAAGAACTGGAGTGTGATATCCAATCAACAGCTTCCTCAGCTGTAGCTTTAAAACTACACCTCCAATATAGCCTGCTTCTTTTCTAACTTACATCTAAGAAACAAGCTTGGCAAACTCATCTGCAGTGAGCTTTTGTGACTCTAAATTTTCTGGACTAATGACAAGACACTGGTGAAGGCCTGGTGAAATTTATTCTCAATCCATGAAAGGTAGCAGACTGCATGTTTGTTTTGTTTTTGTGGTCTATAGAGGTACAGTGGTGCCTCGCACAACGATTGCTTCATACAACGATGAATTCACACAGCGATGGGGTTTTTTGAGGAATTTCCCCCATCGTTTAACGATGTTCTCTATGGGGGAATTTCACTTAACGATGTCCCTTTTTGCTCATTTAAAAGTGTCTTAAAATGTTTGAAACCTGTTTTAAATGCTTGGATTCCATAGTGCACCTTGTGAAACGTGCAAACTTAATTTGGTTTTGTTCTGAGTCTTCATTAATTTTTGGTGATTTTTTTATTTTCCCCATTTAAATCAATTGAATGGAGAGTTCAATGCATTTAAATAGGGAAAACAAAAAATCACCAAAAATTAAAGAAGACTCAGAACAACACCAAATTAAGTTTGCATAGGGTTCAGGAGGTGGGCTTATTGAAGCCGACTCAATACATTTCAATGGCTTTGCGAAGTCCTTTTTCGCTCCTGTAAAAGTGCCTTACAGTGTTTGGAACAGGTTTTAAATGCTTGCAATCGTTAGCCCACCTCCTGAACCCTATGCAAACTTAATTTGGTGTTGTTCTGAGTCGTCTTTAATTTTTGGTGATTTTTTGAATTTTCTCTCATTGGAATGCATTGGACGGAAAGTTCAATGCATTCCAATGAGAGAAAATTCAAAAAATCACCAAAAATTAAGGACGACTCAGAACAACACCAAATTAAGTTTGCATAGGGTTCAGGAGGTGGGCTAACGATTGCAAGCATTTAAAACCTGTTCCAAACATTGTAAGGCACTTTTAAATGAGCAAAAACGGACTTCGCAAAGCCTTTGAAATGTATTGAGTCGGCTTCAATACATTCCAATGGAGGAAACATAGTTTCACTCAATGATGTTTCCTATGGGTTTTTTCACTTAAAGACGGCAATCCGTTCCAATTGGAACGGATTAACCGGTTTTCAATGTATTCCTATGGGAAATGGTGTTTCAGAGAACGATGTTTCACACAACGTTGATTTTTTTGGAACCAATTAACATCGTTGTGTGAGGCACCACTGTATCTATAGTCCACAAATGTCTATAGATACCTCTATAGACCACAAAAACAAAACTGTACTACACAGAAGGTGCAGCTGTTTCCATGCACTGCTGGGTGGGCTTCCAAGAGGCAGCTGGTTGGCCAGCGTGTTGACAACATGTTATACTGTAAAAAGTCCTTGGTTTCTTCCAGTGTGGCTCTTCTTGCATTCTTAAAATCAAATTGTTCACTGAGGTGGGAATGATATGGAAACAATATACTCAATTAAAGATTAAGGAAACATAGTTATTAAAACATTTTATGTTAATCTCTAGTATAACATAACATTTCTTTTTCATTAACATTTTGAAGTACACTAGATTACATCCTTTAAATAATCACAAACTAATAGAGGTAATTGAGCGTTGTTAACAGAAGCACAATTCCGAACTATTTCTGATGTATCACATTCCTTGAGGTGCTACAGTGGATTTTTAACCATTTGCAAACAAGTAGAGTGATCCTTAAAGAGAGAGAGTACTGCTTATCTACAGGATTATGTAGATATTTTGGAATGTTTATGGGTGAACTCTGAATATATTTTGGCCTTCCTTTCAGTTTCCATGTGACATGCGTTCAGTGCAAAATACAATTCAGTAACCTTGCGCTTATCTGGTCTTGAGGGTTGAAGTGGGAAATTGACAGTTTTCCTTTTATTTTTCTTAAAAAAGGAAGAAAACAACTGCTAAAGAAAATATTTCCTAGGAGAGCAAGCTGGAATGACAAGATAATGATACTGTCTAAACATTCTCCACAACTTCATTAATACTGTTCTAAGTTTGACCTTGATGTTAGAATATACACACAATGAAACCTCTGTTATATATTTTCAAGATCCCTCTCCCCAGCACAATCATGCAGTGTCAAATATCTTGCACTCTTTATCTTATCCCCCACAATATTAACAATCTTAGCTCAATATTTTCTTTCTAGAGACCTGCTCCTCGCGATCTGGTGCCAATAACTCCTAACTACCATACAGAAGATAGTTCAAGTGGGCCAACAATCTGAAGGGCCTGCCTTCCTTGAGCAAGAGTTCACAGGCTAAAGCCTGTATTTCCCACAGATGGACAACGCACAACATGGTTGTCTTTGCCATTATACCTACTTACAAAATGTGCAAAAGATTCCCACTGCTCAGAAGCTAGAGATTGTAACTCTAGTGCTAAAGAGTGGCTCTCCTGACTGCTCCTTAAGCCTGTTGTCAAGTGGGTGAAACTATTCCCTTTGTCAACCAGAACGGAACTCCCTGTATTCCTGAAGTTCATGTGTGGCTCCTCACATGTAACTTTCATTCAACCCTTAACAGGTAGTTTTTCAAGTTGACAGTGCTTTTATGTTGCTGTCAGCTTGGTAAGTTATTTTAAGATTGGCTTGACCTATCAGCTTTTTCTCAAGATCTGCCTTTTTCCCACCCACCCCCCAACCACTTGAGGCATTGTTTCCCAAAATAGGGAATGTGGGCCTCTGGGACAAGCTCATGGGACACCTACAAAATACGATGCACACTTTCTGTATGTCTTATTGGTAGCAGGCCAACAAGGAGGCTCACAGTTTCCCACAATGAGTTTCTGTCTCCGCAGATCTGCTGCAAAGAAGGCATGGAGTATAAACTCCAGACTGTTGCAAGTGACATTGGGCAAACCATCGTAGAATGGAACGGGGGCCTGCTCGGTGGCTGAAAAGAGGAGGAGCAGCTGTGTATATTTTGAATGTTTTTTTTAAAAAACAGGAATCACACAGATGGCAGTAAAGTGGCAAAAAGGTTTTAGGTGCCAGGTAGGTATACCCAATGAGGTTTTCAGGTTGGGTTGTACGGAAGATCTAACAAGTTTAAAAATGGAGCACAATTTTTCCAGAATCTGAGAAACACTGTTCAAATAGTACTTGTTAGAAAGTCTTTCTCAGTACAAAATGGAGTTGTCAATAGGTAGCTACGATGTCATTTGGCCGGGTGAAGGTCATCCTTTATGCAATTCTGCTGAAAGGAGACACTGGACCCAAAACAGATCTAGTGAAACTTTAAAGCTTAGCCAAGTCATTTCACAGCAGGATCCTCTCATGATCTATTGTGAGATGCACTAATCATGATGTTAGGCAAAGCATTACGCCGCTTCTTCCAGGAGCCCAGCTCCCGAGAGTATCTCCGTATCTGTCTGAACCAGTGGTGAGTCCGTGCCTTGTCACCATCTCGGAACACAAAGGACTCCCGCCTAATCTCAAGAAGTTCAAATGTATCATCGCAATCAGGATCCACCGACACCACGCAGTTGCTGAGTCTCAAGGGCTCCCTGAGCAAACTGAATTTCCCATTGTTTTTGTCTCTAATAAGTACCAATACGGCATCTTTCACAGACCCTGGCTCCCCAGGTTCAAAGCTAGATTCAGATGCACGTCTGATGTTGACCATGAGGAGCACCTGCATGTTTTGGAATTTTAAGGTCTTGCTGCCCTTTTTCACCCACTGCCCGTCAGGTGGCTGGGCAAGCTGCAGGGACCCTTCCATCACAAAACGCGTCTCTTCCCTCAGCCAGCCCACAGTCTTGATGGCAGTTTCTCTCATTTCAATGTTAATGACTTCTCTGTTCTTCTTGCTGTCCTGGCGGAAGGAGCGCAGAGTCCAGGAGTTCCCTTCCTGCTTAGTTTTCATGTTGATGTGCTCCAGGTGGGACTCGATGCGGCTCTTGGCTTCCCTCAGGCTGCTGTGATCCGGGTGGTACTCAATGGTGGCTTTGATGATACGACTCAGCAGTAGTGGGTATTTGGTGACTCTCTGCAGTGGAGCCATGAGGAAAGACCGCAGGTTCATTCGGCGAAGTGCTGTGTTGTCATTTTGAGAAACATTGAGGAATATCCTGCATGGATTTCAAAAAGGGAAAATTTTCAGTTAGTATATGTGGGGAAAGGAAAAAAACATTACACTGAGTGTCCATACTAAACACGATTATGCCTTATTGATCCATAAATGAACACTAGATGCATACATTTTTTCCAGTTAGCTTTTGGATAACACTCAGGTTATTGGGGCATTAATTTGCTAGAGTTCATGGAATAAGCAAAATTCTGGAAGTTGGGCCATTTCAAAACAGTAAAGACAAATCTCCCCTCAACATTGATCCGTTCTTCTTAGAAGAACCAAATTAGGTAGACATTTAGTATAAGCTATTTTTTTAAACTCTTTAAATTCCTCCACTTTTGTGTAACAGCAACAGAAACTTTAGCAGTACCCTCCCTTAGAAATATCAGTTACCCGTTCCTGTTTCTCTGGCTTTTGTTTCATATGAAGCAAATCCAGTAACTTAGGGCCAAATACTAAACAGGTTCTGTTACTCTTCACTACTAGTTGTAGCACAGGCTGTAGCAGAAGAAACCAGCTATGCTATGTAGATATTGTAAGAAGCATATGAGGGGCTAGGTGGGAAGCTAGTGGGGACAGCGTGGGTCCACGTAATCTATTAGTTATATAAAATAACTGGAAACTTCTATATTTTCAGGTGTCCAAGTTATGTTTCATAACTTGGCATGCTGCTGGTTTTCTAGTCAGTAAATGCTACCAAATTTTTGTAAACTCTGTCATCTTTGTCTCCAGGGTTATCAGAATTCCTAGTCAAAATCCATCTTAGTGGTGGCAATTTGGATACTAGGAAAGTCTTAGGTGGACACATCAGTCTACCCACCGTTTCTCTAAGGCAAGCATGAGCCACACATGGCCCTTAGCATGTATGTTACTAGTGTCAAAACCATCGGTGTGATGGTGTGTGTGTCATTGTCTAATTTTGGCTTTTCCACTCCACCAGCATGTAGCTGGCTAACTAAGTAAAAGGCTTCTGACAGAAAAAAGGCACCATATCCAGCTGTCAGATCACATTTACCAGCATGCATTTGATAATCTCAGAAGCTCCCATTCCTCAGCTCTAGTCTCTGCCATAGTCTTGTCTAGATATGGGCATGAACCTCAGTTCAGAAGTTCATGCGTGTAGCACATCAGGTGCCATGTGTTCCCTTCCCCAGCCTTCCCAGCTGGACCCCCCCCTCACCAGCTGATGTGTGCTCCTCTCCTCCTTCTCTTTGACTGTTCAATCAGTCTCCAGCAGGAGCACCGGCTTCCCTGCCCCATCTCCTTGGCTGTTTGCCCACTCAGACAAGGAGGTGGGACAGGCAAACCTTTCTTCCTGCTGGGGACTGGTCAAACTGCCAAAGAGGAGGAGAGGAGTGTGCTCTGATAGGTGAGTGGGCCATTGGCTGGGAAAGTGAGGGGAGGGAATCCGTGGTGCTGCATGTACAAACTGGCAAAAAACTCCAAAACATGTTTCATGCCCATCTCTAGTCTTCTTGTTCTTTGTGGAATCCTCCCCCTGACCCCCCCCCACCAGTGTGCTTGTTCTGAAAAATACTTCCCTGTTCCAGCATCTTCTTTACATGCATTTTTACCTAAGATTAAGGACCCTGCTTACCTGAGTAACTCCTTTTCTTTTTCCAATGCGTTCAGCATGTTCACTGAAGACGATTGCTGGAGGCAGTAGGTCTGAAAGGCAGGCAGCATATTGACGAACTCAAGGAATATTTCGCCAATGCACACCGTCATGAGGTCCTCATCACCCTGCCAACATAGAATGTGAGCCAGATGCATCAGCAAAGTTGAGGCCATGGGTATTTGGGGCCCTTCCAAAGGTCCCAGCCTAACAGTTTTGCCAGTACAGTGGCGCCTCGCTTAACAAGCGCCCTGTTTAACGACAAATCCGGATAGCAATTAGGTTTTTGCGATCGCAAAAGCGATTGCATAACGATGTTTTGAATGATAAAAAATCACTTTGCGATGATTGGTAAGCTGTTTCGCTTACCGATTTTCGCATAGTGATTTTTTCCAACAGCTGATCGGCGGTTCAAAAATGGCCACCGGGGAAAAAATGGCCGCCCGCTCTTTTTTGGGATGGATTCCTCGTGTACCGGGCAGCGAAAATGGCTGCCATATGGAGGATTTTCGTTTAAAGGTAAGTTCCCCCCCATTGGAACGCATTGAAGGGGTTTCACTGCGTTTCAATGGGGTTTTTTAAATCGCATAGCGATGTTTTCGGTTAGCGGCGATCTTTGCTGCACCAATTAACATCGCTATGCGAGGCACCACTGTATTTGTAAACAACATCTAATCAAAGTGTCACATGATCAGGTGCTGCAAAGATGAGTTCTTTTAACCACATCTTCCAGGGTCTACAGCCCAGGTAAATGCTGAACATCAAAATGAACAACAAAGAGCACCTATACTCAATTCAAAAACAAAACCCACCAACCTGTGGTTGTGTTCACTACCACTCACACTTATTGAAAAGCAGCCATAACAGCTGCTTTGTACTTGGTAGATAAGTGGATAGCTGATTTAAAAAGGAGTCAGCTTCTGGGACATTCCCCGTGTCACTTCATGAATGGCCGTGAACTCAAGAGGGTAGACCATCTTGACTGCTTCCATTGTGTTGTTAACATTCAGAGCTGGAAGAAATACAACTGCTCTGTGCTTCTCTAATCCTGAAATACTGTGAATATTCCTTACAAAACTGGATGCTAATTTCATTGAGATACATGAAAAAATGTCATTTTCTGAAGGACTGTCATTCCATAGCTTTCTTTAAAGCAAGCCTGTTTTCTTTTTTTTTTCTTTTGGAACTCTTTAATGGAGACTGTGCCCATAATATTTCATTGCCCTACAGCAGCGATGGCAAACCTATGGCACGCATCCCACAGCTGGCACACAGAGCCCTCTCTGCGGGCACGTGAACCATAAGTCGCTGGATCACTGCTGCCCCCCCCGCAGCCAAACCTGTGGAGGCGGCTGCAGTTGCCATGCTGGCGCCCCGATAAGCAGCGGGTCAGGATCCGGAGCAGCTGGCACTGGTGGCGGGTCTGGAGTGGGGTCTTGAGGCACCTCTGTGCCTGGGATTCCCTCTTCTGCCACCTGCCGTTTTTTGTCTTTTTTTTTCAGTTTGGGTACTTGGGACCCCAAAAGCCGTCACTGCCCTACAGGCTCCCCTCCCAAGAAGCTGCAACATTCTATCTACTTTGGAATACTCTTGACAGTAAGCCTTTACTACGCATATTCAGTTTATTAAAAAGTAACTAATTTTTCCTGTTTGAAAGGTCTTTTTTTCAATATTTCAGCCCCTGCAGCCTGGATTCTTTCCCATTTTTTTTTTAAAAACCCCGACGGGAGCAACCATTGTCTTTCATGATAAACAAGATTGGCTTATTCAGTTTTTATGAGCAATTTTAAATTTGGGAACATTTTGGGTTGCTTGTTTCTCCACGAGGGGTAAAACAGCTTTCATTTAAAAAACTCATAGCTGGAAAACTCTTTTCCCAAACTTCCCCAATTTCAGCATTGAGCAAGAGCAGACTGTCTGCTACACCTGTGCCAAATGAGTTGCTGGTCCAAAGCCCAGTTTCAAATACATAAATTTTTGTTGTGTTCCCCCATTTTTAGAACTGCATTGTCGAATGGTGATTTGCTCTTCTGCACAATAGCACAACTGCAATCTTGTGCAGTTATAATTAGTGATGCCAACTTTTGCAATCTGTTCTCCAAACAGCAGTCTTGGGGCTGGGAATGCTCAGTTCCACAGTCAAGTTGGCATTACTTAGCAGTCAAACCTTCACAGCTATAGAGAACATCTGTTCAGGAATTGCATTACGCCAAAGTCTACACATACATATTTTACATACAAAAGGCAAAAGAGAGAAGTAAAAATGAAATGTGCAATCTCTGTTTTTCCCAGCATGGAAGTATCTGTGCTTCACATGATGCAAGGCAGACTGCCCTACATTTAATTATCTCTACAACTCACTCACTGCACATCACTCTCAAAAATCCTAAAAATAAATTGGCAATATATTCCTATAAGAAAGCAGTCTCAATCACCATCTCTAAATAAGCTGAATTAACCATTCTGTGTGTATTACTGAGTCTGCTTGCACACAGAAAAAAAAATACACATGCCTCGTTGTACCTTTCCATTTAAATTCAGCTCACTTCTGCCCATATCCTTCCTATGGGGTTTATTGACTATTGGCATTTACTCAATCACTATGTTAGTCTCACAGGAAACAGAAGCTTGCACTTACATGACACCCAATGCACATGATTTGTGTCCCCCTTAACTTTTGCTTCTTAATAAAATCCTCACAATGTTCACCCAAATGTATGGACTGAAGGAAGCATTTAAGTGAGGGGATTCTAGCCATATGATTTAAATAAAACGGAGTAATGTTGTTGTTTTCCAAATGATTTTTTTAAAAGGAGGAAGTTATGGAAGAAGGAAGCAACAAAAAGGGAAGGAGCACAGAAACCTGTGCTCACACCAAACAGGTCTGTAACAATTCACAGTATTGGGTGGAGGGGTAATGCCATTAACCAGAACCATGAACTTCTTAAAAAGACATGCATTTTTTTCCTAGTCACTGTGATAAAAAAAAAAAACTCAGCTAAGTCAAACAAGAAGGGTCAGGATGTTGAACAAGCAATGGGCAGAGCAGTTTTAATAGCGGAGGGAGCAGAGGTGCAGATGATCCGTCTATTCCAAAGGCCCACCACCATGTGCTGACCAGCAAATGGACAAGGGTGGACAGGTGGTTCTGGGATCCCAGGAAGTTCTCCTGTGGTTCCATTAGCAAAAACCGTTTCTTCCCACTAGCAATCCTATACTTTTCAACCTGAGACTCCAAAGGAATCTTGAACAAGTGCCTAGAAGTGGTAGTAGGATGGATGACAAAGAGCTGGGAATGCTGGCAGTTCTGTGGGCTGGGAAGCCAGAGGATTTGAGCAGCAGTGTGAAACCAGTCTTGGATGGGGGTTCACTGTGCCAAATGACCAGATGCACAGCTCAGTGGCAGGGGTCTCCTTGACTTAGTGCTATCTGGTGCGTTAGATGTTTGTATGCCAATCACGACCTATGCTGGGCTCGAGAAGCTGCTGTATCTAACACAAAAGCAGCTCCCTAGATTCTGGTGATGGCCAGAAAGTTTCAAAGCATACCTCTAATTCTGCAACACTTTTACTGGTCCCATTTTAGAATACTCGTCTGAATACCTAAAGACTTCAATGGCACAGTTGTCTAAAAGAATCCTCAGTCCCCAAAGTGCTGCCATACATCTCAAGTGCCTGTCATGAAGATCAGTTAGATTTTTGTGCACAAGAAACAAAGTCTTCCTTGATCAAACTCCCTTTCTGTTGATTTCTGCCTTGACCCTTCTTTTACTCAGATGAAGCTTGAAGATTTCCCTCTCTGCTATTGCCTTCAGTATTGAGATTGTAACCATCTCATGTCCCTAATAGCAGCTCCTCAACGTATCCTGCACAGTTGCAATTATGGCAGTTTTGTTTATTTCTTGCCTTTCTTCTTTATGGCACATCAGCCAGTCCAACCCCAGGGCTTCTCAAAGATCTAATTGTTCCAAGGCCATTTCCTCTCCAGCTTGTTCCCTAAGTATCCTGTATGCCCATCCCCAATCAGTGGGATGAAGCACCATCTTGAGAGAAAACTTTACTGGTCGTCTCTCAGCATTAAAGCACATATAAAATAAATTGAGCTCATCGGGGTGGGAGGATGTCACTAATTGTCCCTCTCTGTTAGCTTGTTTGAGGAAAGTAAAATAATTGGAATGTCGAAAAGTTATGAAGCAGATGCGCATAGCAAAACAACACACGGTCCATAATCCTGATGCATAACATCACGGACACTACTCAAAATGTTATCCCTGAAGCACTTCCATCAGTTGGTCTCACTAGGGGCCTGCAAGTGATTGTGCAATTGAAGAGCACAATTCCTTGTCGCCAGGCATAACTCTTGGCATATTCAAACTGACCTAATTTTATGTTACACCAGCATGAATAAGATTTCTAAGACATACAAAGCTGTCTGATTCCTGGCCCCATTCTAGCCCTCAAAATGAAGAGCCATAGACTACATAGTTCCCCTTTCAGGCATCTCCCACCTGTTTCATGACCAGTCACAGCGCTAGTTGCACAAGTACAGTAATCTCGAAAGCAGCATGAGATCAGGCATGCAAAGGGAAACGTCTGCCAGAGTCAACGGAATGCTTATGCAACAGCGTTTCCATGATCATATACTGCAACAAGATTCTTGCCTTTGAGTTTTAATAAAGGCTGGAATATTTTTTGTGTGTTATCACATTTGTTTTCTACTGATACCTATACAGTGGTGCCTCGCTAGACGATTGCCTCGCAGGATGAAAAACCCACAAGACGATTGGTTTTTGTGATCACTATGGTGCCTCACAAGACTTTTTTTCTATGACCGTGCTTCGCAAGACTTTTTGTTAGACCGATGCTTTGCACGATGTTTTTTTTTAAGACCGATGCTTCGCAAGACTTTTTTTTTGAGACCAATGCATAGGGAACCTCGCAAGATGGTTTTTTCACAAGGCGATGATTTTCATGGAACAAATTAAAATTGTCTTGCGAGGCACCACTGTATTAGTAAAAATGGTGTCAAAATTATAAAAATAGAAAAACGATTTAAGCTAATTTAGCAGTGACAGATACAAGTCATTTTTTTATAGTTTTAACCTTTCTTTCTTCTGATCAAGGATCAGAAGTTCAAGGATCTTTAGTCATCTTCTATGTCTCTCATTAGCAAAGTTTATTTTACAAAATATGAATAAGACTATTCTGCTTTTTGCCAGCATGAGGCACTATGGCACAGAGGGTCAGTGGTTCAGTTTGTATGGCTTCTATTAAACCAGGAACTGCCGCTAGAAAAATAAATAAAAGGAAGATCAAGCAAAATTAAAGAGTCACACAATCCATACCAGATTTGGACCCATAGGCAGCCATCCTTTGCCCAATTTAAATTGTGTTTCAATGTCAGAGCTAGGTTTCATGGTTGAAATCTGCATCCTGAGGTTTTAAAACGTTGATTTCTATCCTCCATTCCTGAAACATGCCTAATGAGCCATTATTTTTAACACTGTCAACTTCTTAGTTTTTAGCTCAACTTAACTTAAAGCTTCATTAAGTTTAATTTCCTCCATTAAAATCCATTTTCTGCAGGGGTTTTTTTTTGCCAAGTCTGCAGTATGCTGTTTTCATATATGGTCTTGCATTCTAATTTGAAAATAACGTTGCTTAATTTTCATTAAAGGCAAACCTGAAACGAGCTCTCAGAATAATTCAAATGTGGGCTCTTGTCCTCAGCTCTTCTACTATCCACAATTTCCTGTTTCCCACTCCAGCATTGTTGTAAAGTAGAAACACTTGCTTTAAATGGAGCTTTGTTCACATGCTGCCCAAATATAATGAAACTGCAGTGAAATTTAAAGGAAAGAACATGGGTTTGTGGGTTTTTTTTCATTGCTGCTGATGTCACAGCAAACTGAACAACTGCAACAGCAGCAAGGAATTTTGGAAGGTGGCGATAGCTAGGAACACTCCTGTGTACTATAGACAATACAGTATGTTGATTTCCACAGCAATGTCTACAAAAGCCATCTGGAGTCAGCCGTCTCTTACTGCTTTCAGTGCACTCCTGCTCCACTTCCACAATTCCTTTAAAGTCTGGCATGTGTTGTGGAGTCTCTCAAATGATGACTCTCATGGAGCTGTGGAACCTGAGACCTGTGGGGCCACATTTTGCCCAGCTGGGCTGTAGTGCCTCAAAAAGAGGGTAGCGATAATTGCTTTTGGCTACCCTAGCTCATGGCAACAAATATCTTAAAACAACAACATCAACAGTAACTGAATTCTGCTTGGTACCTTTTTTGAGCTCAGCTGGATGCTTTCCTTCATGTCAGCTGAGCACGTGACTGCCCAGCTCACTCACCCGAAAGGCCAGCCTCAGCCTGGGTCGTATGACTGGCAGTAGATGTCCAGGATTTCAGGCAAGCCATACCTGTTTATGCCCAATATTGAACCTGGCATGTAATATATAATTTCTACCACTCCGCTATAGGCCCTTCCTCGAGACAACCACACTGAAGTCCAGATCATTGTTTCCACCCCATTTGGCTTGCCAAGTTGAGCAACTGGGAGCAGTGCCCAATGCCGTTCACAGGGTGCTAGCCTGTCATAATCAATTTTCAAGAACTGCTGCTCCAACAAATTATAAAGAACCTTGAGTATATTTAAGAAAGTGGGCCAGTTTGGCAAGTGGCTCTAATAACACTTAAGGCTTTAACCAGCCTTGTGTTTGTTCTTGGCAACCAGCAATTACTGGCAAGCCAAGCTGCTTTTAATTGCTCTCCCTTGGGCACAGTGGGCTTTTTTTGAATGTTGCTGTAAAAATGAATTTCATGGTAAAAGGATGCCTTTCCTTTCAGAGCTGGTAATAAAGTACAAGGTATAATATAAATCCAGAACAGTGTGCAAATGCCATTCGTTTTGCTTAGGTGATAGCGGAAGCAGCCAGTTGTACTCGCTGCACACTCCTTCAGTCAATGGAAGTGCACTCTTATTCGTAGCTGATGGTAGGGCCTCACTCACGAACCAACACGCTGGTGTTTCAGCAGACAATGAAAGCCAGCACAGTGCAAGGGTTATGGTGTTTTGACTCAGATTTGAAAAACGCGGGTTTGAGAAATTCTTGTCTCCACAAAGCCATGAAAGTCACTGAAGCGCTTGGGCCAGTGACATTCTCTCTCAAGCTTACCTACCTCACAAGACTGTTGCTGTGAGGGTACAGTGGGAGTAGGGGTGAGGAGGAGAAGAACTGTGCATGACACCTTGACATCCACTGAGGGAGGCCAAAAAATCCAATGAATTGAGCCTTCTTGATTCTGCCCCTAATTTTTGGAATAAAATGCTGACAGAGAGATGCCAGGCTCTTTCCCTCCATGTGCTTAAAAAGATGATAAAGACAGAATCATTTAAAGCTGCCTTTATTTACTGAATCTCCTGAATGCTGCCAATAAAATCTGGTTCTGGTTTTGTCTAATGATTTGATGTCTTTTGTTTGTCATATTGACTGTTTCCTTTCATGTAAAGCAACCGGAGTAGAGCCTAGCACTAATTGGGTGGAATCGAAGTTTATGAAATAACAATAACCACCACCACCATAACAACAACAAATGTGTGATTTTTAAAAATCTTTTAATCAATTATAGATTTTTCATTGGGTTATTCATAATTTATGATTATAATTCTTGTCTCTTCTATTGCTGTACAGTATTTTTTAAAATTTGTCTTCTTTTTGTTATTATGGTGTATTCAGGGTTTGGGAGTTTTTTACCTTGTGTAAACCACTCAGTGTACCGCTTGTAGGGCAGCACAAAAGCTAAATGGATAAATAAATATTGAGCTTGTTGAACAGTTTTGCAAGTCATAAAGCTAGCCTTAGACTGGCCTACATGAGAGCAATCAGAGTGACCTTTATAGTTCTATTTCATAGGCCTGCATACTTAAGGGAAAATGAGGGAGCAAAAGCATTTGTGAGATGGTTAGTCCACCCAATGATCTTGCTGCTGATCACAGAGAAGAGCAGACACCTGCAATCTGATTCATGGCTTTCTTCTATAGCCCAAATATACAAATGTCTTCCACATGTTGGAAATGAAGAAACAAAGAACAGAAATGCAGAAGACTAATTAAATAACAGTCAAGAGCTCTCTAGCACTGGGGTAAAAATGGGTTGTATCAATCAGAGTCTAGAGTTCCATCAATTACTATGATTTGCAAAGTGCTAAAGGTAACAAACCTGTAGTAACAAATTAATTCATTATTAATTCATATGGGAAGAGATAGGAAATCTGAGGCCATACACTACCTGCTCAAAGGCCTGGTCTATCTCTTCCTGAAGGTATTCCAGAAAATTTTCATTGAGATCGATCAGCTCCTGGATGTTGCCAAAAACTACAAGCAACTGTTCCTGCGTGAGGAGGCCGGCAGCTTGCATAGGGAGGTAGAACTCCTCTTTGATGATGCGCAGGTCCTCCCCATAGCTGGCTTCAGTGTTGACAAACTCCAGCACCGACTCCTTCCGCTCTGTCCGGCACTTCAGGCATTTCTCACAGAGGTTGGCCCGCCTCTTGTTCTGGTTCTGAACATCGGTTTCCAGTGGGAAATCTCTTCCACCACAGTCCGTACAAGGTTGGTGGGCTTCCCAAGCCTGCAGAGACGCCAGTGTTTCAGAGGCCCGACTCCTCCACTTTCTACTCAGCACTTGACTGATGCCGCTGTCTGCCCGCTCCATCTCAGCCAATCTCATCTTTGGCACCCCTCCGCTGCCGGTGTCAGGATTGTCCCTGTCATCGAGCCCACCCACAATGCCACTGTCAGCACTGAGACTGCTCACATTGCTCCAGCGGTGTCTAGAACGAAAAGAACTGCCCCAAACACGACGGTTCTCATCAGGGTTGCTGCCACCGTTGCTGTTGGCCTTCATCAGTGCTGGGCCAAAAGCAGAAAAATGAAATAAATGAGTACCACTTTTGTACAATAGCAGAGACTCTGCTTAGAATCACAGATGTTGCCTTAGTCCAGTGTTACCAGTAGGATATTTATTTTCCAGCTCCACCCTACTGATATAATGAATTTTCTGCAGGCAAAGTGTGTGATATTTCCTGCTGAGCTATGGCTAGCCCACGGCCTTTTTGTCTCTAGTGAAAGCGCCATCTCTATCCAACAAAGTTTTTTCTGTACTATGATGGGGCATCATTCCCGTAAGCAACCAAGAAAGGCTTCTCTGAGCTCGGAAATAATGTGATAGCATTGACATGTTAACACTAAAATTGTAGCTTCTGCCTTGAACACAACAAGGAAATTAATGCATTTAATATTCTCCAAATAATATTTTGAAGCACTTTGATATTACTTTCCAAACATAATTTTTAGAATTTTAGGTGGATCCATTTCCTTCTTCCCCAGGGGAAGTAAAGATTTTAACATTAATGTGTTAACACTCTCACATTGTTTCCAAGTTCTGGTTTATTTTAGGCATAAAACCAACCACTGCCATCTTCTGTAAAGCTAAGAAAAGCTGACTTTCCCTTCACCAACTTTTCTTTAAATGGTTAAGAAATTCACTTATTCTCCATTTCATTGATAGCAGCCCAGTCTCTCCATGTTCTTAGAGGGAACCCAGTGATCTTTGGTTCTATTGACTGTCTGCATTCACAGAACCAGTGTTGCACATTCCACCTATCTTTTTGTAATGTCATTCATAAAGACAAAGGGATAGACTACTAGGTAGGGACAGATCACTAGAACGGAGCCTAGCCTATCACTCAAAGCCACTGCCGTGGCTCCGAATGTCCTCTTTTCTGAATATTTGTCTCTGCTGCTCATTCACTTTTCTTTGCAGGAGGTATTGTTTCGAAAAGATATTTCTTCTAAGTTGTGGGGCAGATGCTACTACAAGCAATTGCTGTAGGCCACAGAGCCCCTTCCACGGCTGCTTGAATGGGAATGTCGGAAGGATAAAGGTTAGCCTTGTCTGAGAGACAAAGTTTAACCCAAGGTTACAACAGACTCAGAACAGAGACTGACAAGGACACTCCAAGACCCACACAAACGACATCAAGAGCAGGGGACGTACTGGGGTCTCTCTCTTGTCGACGCTTCTGGGCATGCTGCCGTGCGGCGGCGGCTATCTTCAGTTCCAGCTGTTTCCTCTTCACAGCATCCGTCGGCATCGGATCGCTGAAATGGGGCCTTAACCGACACTCTCGCTGAGCTTTGGTGCAGTCTGATGTTTCGTAGGAGATGTCGGAACTGGATCTGCGGCAGTTGGGATTTGAGCTCTGGAAGGCAAAAAATAAAAGCAAACATGGAGGCAAGGTTTGACAGAGCAAATCATGGGATATTCAGATATCTCTGGCTGATTGTGACAATGCTCTGAACTGGAAGTGGGCAACTTTCAGAGATCCACATACCATCTCACATCTTAAAGGGCGGCACCCACTCCTGTATGCAGCCATTTGCCTCCCACAGCCCCTGGATTAGGTATGGGAAATCTCAGCCTGGCCAAGGGCCAAATTCCCATTTGACCATCAGCTGAAGGATTGCGTCTCTCCTGATCTGCTGCTTTAAAAATGGCAGTATGGCTAGGTTATCTAAGGTATTTTATGTTTAGTCCTAATTGTTTACATCTTTTTTAACAGTTAAATGCTGTTTTGAACATTTATTAGTATTATTTAAAATTAGAATCTTTAAAAAACTTTAATTGACTGGACTGAGACATCTTTGCCTGCACTAAATATTTCCTGGTTTCCAGTTGTCAATAATTGGGTTAAAGCATGGAATTGGTTAAAGCTTCCTTAATTGAATTAAGGTAAAGAAATACAATTTTCCATTAAAAAAATAAATGCTGAAAACAACCTTTGACCATGAACTGGAAACAAGTAAGAATAAACATAAAGTATCTGCAGGGAAACTAGGAAACCAGCAGGAACACATGATGCCAACTTGTTTTGTAGCAGATGGCATCACTGGTTGGTTGATCTGTATGTTTGTTTGTTTGTCTTGGGCAGTCCTCCTGCTCCCCGGTTGGTCCCAGGAGATTAATGAACGGGGCCTAACAGAGGTCTGCTAAATAAGATGCAGAAGATCCAAAGCCAGGGTTAAAGAACAATCCAAAGTCAAGCCAGCCCAGTAGTCACCAAAAGAAATAAGGGGAGTCCAAGAGACATAGTCAAACTGGTCCAGATCATTACGCACAGGCCTTTTTCCAGTTAGGAAAGAAACTCAGCTACACGCTTTGATCTGCTGATCTTGCTGGGAGGAATTAGCTTTC